ATTCTCTTCACACCGTTCAAATTAAAAAAAGAAATATGTGTATTTTTTTCTTTTTTGTCTTTCAATAACGCATGATAGCCTGACAAGGGGAGGACGAGGGAAAAATTTGGAATTTAACACAAGCATGAAAGTTTGGAAAGAATTGTTTAAACTCAGTAATCATCCGAAAGGACAAAATCTGACACAAATTATTTTTTTAATTCATGTGCAAAATCATTTAACGAACAGTTAAATTTATCATTAGTTTTTTTCCAATGTTCATTTTGTGTGTATATGTTTACATTAACACCTTAAGCAAAATTTCAAAACTTGTTAATTAGAATCTAATTCACCCTTGTTGTTTGGCCAGCTTTCGACTGAATGTGTAAAATTTCAAAGCACCTGTAACGTCATCAAATATTTACTTCGATTGGTCATTTTCAATAAGCAACGCATTTGTTTTCGCAAGGTTTAAGATGACATTAATACGACTTTGGGGCAAGTCAGGCGTATTAAGATTTCAAAAAAAGTGAACATAAGGAAGAATTCTTCAAAGCACCTTCTATCAGTTGTTCAATTTCTTTCCCAGTGACTCCCCTCTTGCTAGAGAACGATGTGAGCAAGGATATGGTTTGCTTACGGTGGAATTCAGTCGAGAGATGAGATGTAAATTATATTTATGAACTGTCAATGGATGGCATCTTTTTCGATGGCCATTGAAAAGATACCGCACAAACAACAAATTGTGCATACATTTTTTTTTTCGTAAGTTCACCAGCACCAGTAATATTTTTGTAGTTCCGTTATTTTGAAAGTTATTTCGCATGATACAACAGAATATTCAAAATAATGCGACAAATCTTTTCACTAATTCAAGGGCAGAACAGCTGCCGGTAGTCAAACGCCCCTCCTTGCTAAGAATGTTGGCGGGGAAACACGAACGAAAAGAAAATTTAAATACCAAAGCATGCACACTTTTGGAAATAACTTGTGAACGATCTATATTAATCTAAGTTTCTTTTGAGCAATTTGAAATAAATTTCTAATCAGAGAAAAGGATGCTAGAACAATTCATTTCTGAAATGTGAATAAAATGTGTATTCTGAATTGTTGCACTGTTCTCTTGCTAGAGAACGACATGAGCAAAAATACAATTTGCTTACTTTGGAATTCACTCGAGAGAGAGATGTAAATTATATTCATGCACTGTAGCTGGATAGCATCTTTTTCGCTGGTTTTTGAAAAAGATAACCCCCAAGGCCAAAAACATCTGAACGTTCCGTATAACCTTGACTGATAAAAACGGACTTTCATCCTCTAAAGGAACTCTGTTCGAACAGAATGTCAGCTTCTCTTAAAGTTTTTTGATATTTTTTTAAGCCATTTTACATTAAGATCCAAAACTAAGAGAAATCTTTTGACGTTCGAAGAAGGACACAATGATGTCAATACTACATTTGAATATCAAAAGGAACTCAATTGTTGACAGCTGGCTGAGGAAGAACGTGGCAAAATCATTCAATTATCTCTCACCTTAACATATTCCCCAAGGCAACTCCTTCTTTTCTGCAATCTCCCGCTTCAATTTTGGCGGGTATCTTAGAAAACCACATCAGAGACTTCAATTATGATAATTAATTATGAACGTGGAGAAATGAAAAATCGACACTCAGAAAGATATCAGTGCTTGTGCGTAAAATTTGTGGGAAATTTCCTAACCTCTCTGATCAAAACAAAAACATTAACTTATCATATGTAACTCCCAAGTGACGGCTTTAGATGGCAGGGACAGCGACTGAGTCTCTTCCATTTTTTGTCATTTGAATACATCTCTGACAATGATACTAAACCCGCCTTCTGATTTAAATATTTTCGAAATTCTGAACAACACTTTTTCCATGGTACCGTCATTGATACCCTCGTCGTGTGAGTTATATTTTGTGGAAAATCTCTCCAACCATGTTGCGGTAAAATTGACCATAAATTTCGAATTGGAACGAAAGGTGTTTTGCTCTCATTAGGCTCTGAGTAATAACTCTGAGTGTCGCAAGGTTAGTTAAGTTCAATAATATTTCCTGATCTAGTTTTCTACTTCATTTCAACTCATCGGCTCCTAGAAAATTTACATCGGGCAAACATCAACCAAGTTGGTCGTTATGATTAAAAACATAACAATAAAAGCACTTTTGATATTCTTTCTGTAAGGAACTGTAATAAATTGGTACCAACCGATATCAGTTTTTTTTTCACGAAACGTACGTCTCAAGATCTTTGAAGGAAATCATTTGTGTCATTTTTGGTATAAAACTTGAAAAAAACTACGTATATACTTGACTATTTGAGCCCCTTTTGAACAAAGTGGTTTGTTTTCTGTGACATATACAAATAAGATTGTGCATGCATAAGTTTGTACTGCTCTAATTATCTTGACGAGTATGATATGGCCTTGGGCATTTTACACTTGAACCTGTAAAATTCAGTTCTTAGGGTACCTAGTGCTTAGGGTTTCGTAAGATAAACGTTTTTTATCAAATGCACACGTTATATCCTCAATGTGAATCAACGCTTCATTCATTCGATGGTTGCGTGGGAAGCTTGATGAGTTTCTTCATCATGCATTTCACGATTTCTCGAAGCTCGCGATATCTCCAGCAGTAAACAAAGGGGTTGATTGATGAATTCAGAAGAACGAGAAACGAAGAGACATGATGCGCTGCCAAAGAAGTGGATCGATAACGGCTCACTGTCAGAAAAATTATAGAGCACAAGTTTGGCAGATAACAAGCCACAAAAACAATTTGAATAAACAAGGAATTTATCATTGATTTCTTTTCTCGGAGAGCTTCCATCGCTTGACGATTTCGAAAATAACATTGGTCAAGTATCTTAATACGATGATAACGAACGACTTTGCAAATGTAAATGTAGACAACGATTGTCACGAAAAGTCCACCAAATTGAAAAATGGCTACCACCAGATGATTCTGCCTAGGAATGAAAATGTTTACGGGGAAAGCGACGGCAAAGCTTGTCGACCACAAAGTGATCAAAAATGTAACAGCACGACCAGGAGTAACGAGTTCTCTGTATCGCAGGTGAAGAAATATCGCAAGAAGTCTATCCACAGCGATGGCGATCATCGTAAGGAAAGATGCGCTGGTGAGAAGATATATGCAAAAATAATTTACAGCCAAGATGATGGGACATAAAAAGTCAGAGCTGTCTCTTTCATTGCTTTCCTTCTTCAAAAGTTCTAATATGACTATACCATACATAGGCTGAGCGAGAACGCCTACGCCAAGATCAGAGGCGGCAAGGCTTAGATAGAGTTTTTTCAAGGTACTTGGTATATATGATGCTCTCCATAAAGCTCCAATAGCCAGGATATTGGCAAAGATTGCCACTACAGCAAACGCCAAGTTCAAAATGGCAAAAATGAGAACCGTAGTCCCATAAGAATGCACAAGTATTTTATATTCTTCAAGTCTGCGTCTGCAGAGCTCCATGCATTTGAGTTAGGGAAACATAAACCCTTTGCCACCCGTTTCTTCAAGATCACTTATCTTCCACCCAATCTCCTGCATAAAATTAAAAGGTAATACAATCGTCTTACAACGTAGAAAATTAATTCACAGAACCGTGATAGGGCACCTGTTTGCATCGGCCGATCGCTGCAAGTTCTTATCAACGTTTAAGAGCATCTTTTGTTGCTCAAAGTTTTGCTCTGGTTTAAGATTTAAAGTTACCCTTTCTTAGTTTTCTGCTCTCGAGTAATTTATCTTGTTGTCAGACGAAAGAAGCGACATCTCGCCACTCACCCCAAAAGCTCAAATACACATCACGAGAGCTTTTGACGTAGAATGGACTATTCTTTATCATGAAATTTGCACATCATGGTAGCCCGACTATAATACAGAAAATGACACCCTGTACCTTCTGAACAGGTAAAAAATCAAGATCAATCTCGTCAACAAAGATTGTATTAAAACCGAGTCTTATCAAGTATTAAATCGATTTGGGGATAGTCTCCATCTATTGCCAAAATGCAAAACTTGTCAAGAAGTGCAAATATCACGTACCCATTGTAAAAGGTGCAACGTTTTAAGTAGGTAGGCGCATACTTCATTGTTTTCTTCAAGATTTTAAAATTCAGGGTCAAATCTTTTAAAACTATGATTCTGTAAATAAAATGTCTGATGTTAGTTTTAAGTTTCAAAAGCGATTGGAAAGAACACAAGAAAAAAACGATTCACATTTCATTACGAACTACAGGGTTGCGCAAGTGGAAAGTGTCTAAACTTCCTATGATGGGGTTAGTTTCCTAGGAGAGATTGCAAAAGTCCTGTTGGGTTTAATATGACGGAAATGCTGAGAAAATATAATTTTCTTTAGCAACGCTGG